GCGCTTTTCGCGGAAAAACGAGTTCTTGAAAAAATCGGGATCCGATAAATCCTCATTATGTGCAATATGATAGTGAAACACTTGTCATGGAAAATATAGTTTACTTATGGGTTGATGAATTCAATCGGTTTTATCAGAAAATATGCAATGATCCATTGAACAGTCTGTATTTTTAATTTTTATCAACATAGAAGTTTGTTTAAATTGGCGGAAGTTTCAAAGACAATTGAATCGATATAGTTCTCAAATGATGGTTTGATATAAATAATTTTTGTAGAGGGAAGCATGGTTTTTATTTAGAGAAAATTTGTCTTTGAACAGAATCCATGAATGATTATTGCTATGAACATTCTAGGAAAGCTTTCGTGACAGCGCGAATGACTGTAGACGTGAAGAGAAAGTCATAGTGTGGCATGTGCTCAACGTTTATGCGTCTACTTTTGTCCGATCTGAATGGTATCTTAACGTCATAGGGAAGGTGATAATGTATTGAGCATTATGACTCAGTTTTTCAATCCAACAATGTTTACTTCGCTCATTCATGTTTTGCAGATTTCATCCACCGTTTTGATTATTTGAGGCCTTCATTCCGTTTCAGTCCTTCGGATCGGTCCAAAAATGTAACTCTTCATCCAGTTGCAAGTTTACAGCGAACTCAATCTTTATTTAGTTCACTTGGCAACATGACATCATTTCTGCTAGCGATATAATCGATCGTGGTGATTTTCAATGAGAGAGTACGTATGCGCATGATACAGCCAGTGAGAAAAAATATTGTTTCTCTTAGAGAGGGAACCGATCGATAAAAGAATGCAGAGATTTAGTAATTCATCGGAATCTATCCTCCCGACCATGGTCACAGAGCTCAAAAAAATCATGGTTTCAATCATGGTATGTGGTACGTATCGTTCGTAAGTAATGATTTCATTTGAAAGTAACTCTATCGGTACCAAAGGACTTTGTCCAAATAGGATGAAGTATTTCTTTTTAGTAACGATTCTCGTTTAACATTTTACGGTAGAACAGCGATCCTTAATGAACACTGTGGCTCATTTTTAAGAGGATGAAATATTGCTTCTTCTTCAGAGATACTATGGGACCGAGTGTAGCGAAAGAAATTACAATGAAATACAACAAGGAAATGACGAAATCGAGAAGAAACATCACAGATCATTCAGATATTACGGATCAATGGAATAGTACAGAGTGTGGGTGATTCGACAAAACTGTTTGGGCATGTTCCAGTAATGTTTTTTCAAGGCTGAGGCTTAATCTATCATTAGGCAGGATTAATTGTATATATATATATATATATACGCACTGTTCCAAGAGCCATTATCTAGCCCAATTCTTCTAAATCGTATTTTTCACTTCCGGTTGGGGTGGTCTTCTTCAACAGAGAGTCATTCATGAATAAAAATACGATTGAACTTCTAGCAGCACCCGGATATCATTCGGCCTTTTAATGGCAGATTTACTCCTGCCAAGCCATAAGAACCGAATGTATGGATTATATATTATTCTTTAATTTTGCAAAATGCCATTGATCTATTGAAATTTCTTGGTAGTGTGGCCTGTATTACTGCCAAGTAGTTCTCTGGCAAAATTTGTTCCACGTCAGTGAAGCGAGCTCGGCTAGAAATGGTAAGCAAAAAAATCACCGTTCTATAAATTTAGTAACGAAAATCAATAAATCGTAAACAGTGGTCATTAATCTTGCCATTTCTTAATAACCCTTTCAATGGCATAAATCAGCTTTGCCTTCTTTGAAGAATCGGTTAAATTCATTGATAAAGAAATCATCGAAATTTTCGATTACTGCCAGTACTTCTTTATCACTTGAAGTCTTAGAATTCGACGAAATGGTTATCCTTTAGAAAACTTTGTTTCTAACGGAAATCATGTCCTTGGTCAGGTATAATGCGAATACAGCGATTTTATAATAGAAGCAATGTACAAACTGATAAGGGAATTTGCATATTCTATTATTACATTTTCCGCTTTTTTATCGCAGCCACATTATCAATTAATGTAAAAAATGACTGATTTTAAAAAATCAGACTGATCTGCAGCCCTTCTTTTGTCATTTACCTCGATTTATTCGCTTATAGTCGCCACCAAAAACAATATAAATTGGACAATACAATATTTTTTTTTTCAGTTAAACATATCCATGTGGTTTTTATCACAGAGGTTAAATAATATTAATAACGATACAAGAATATAATGGGTTCGTATTTTACTGTTACCTATGGTCAAAAATAATCGAGTTATCTAAACAAAGATATTATATATCGACTTCATCTTTTTCTTCAAATAGCCCTCACCATTACTGCTTAGGCTGGATCCAACGACTACAAAGGTAAGATTTCGGGCGGCGCGGTCTGATGCCATCATCTACAATAATAGAAGCCATTTGTTTTTCCATCATTTAAGTCCATACATTGCTGGACCACCTATACGCTCAAAATCTTATCTAACCATATCAGTCCAGGCCTTGATTGGCCCACCTCGCTTTAGACGCCATCCATCATGCGGTTTAGCAAGTAGCGAAATATACGTCAACTCTTGTGGTGGATGATGGAGAATGTGCCCTAACCAGCGAAGGCAACGCTCTCTGATAACATTATTAATGCAAGTGGTATTTGAACGAAAGTGGATGTGACCATGTGATATTTTATTTCCCCCGAGGGACCCATAAAATGTACGTTAGACAAGAGTGATCAAAGGCAGATAACTCCTTAATATCTTCCACTCTCATTGGTTATATAGCAAGATCAAAGGAATCACAGCTATGTAGATGCGGACAGATTTTTATTGTGATTTCACGACGATTCCATAAAGGTTTCGTCAACCGGAAGAACGCATTTCTAACTGCCGTGATCCGAGTTATAATATCATCTTTTGCCTGTCCATTTGGTATTAGAGAGGACCCAAAGTATTTGAAATCAGGCATTTCCTCAACCGGCAATGAATTTATAAAAAGAGGCATTTTATCAGCTTCTTGCATATAAGACGAAAAGACTTTCGTTTTATTTACTTTGATCCTAAGTCCGATTCTTTATACACAGATCTGCACCGATGTGCGCTCATAAAATTCCTTTATATGCCTTTATGAATCGAATGATTTTCTTTGGAACACCGTCACGTTCTATCATCTTTCAAAGCACCGCTCTATCAATTGAATCAAAGGCAGCCGCAAAGTCGATGAAAGTGACAGTGGATTGCAAATATCTGAAGCGATGTTCCAACATATTTCTTAAATATCTTAAATATCTGGTCAAAAAAACCGCGCTCTGGTCTAAATCCAGTTTGATTAAGGCGCATCCTGCTGTACTTTTATGATGATTCTGTTGGATGAAAAAGAAGCAAAAATTTTCGTTGAGGCCTCCCTCCAGTAGGATGATTCTTCGATAATTGTCGCAATATGTTCTATCAATTTTCGTGAGAATTGGAAGCAGAATTGCTTTGCTGCAGTCATCTGGTAATATTTCTTGTTCCCATACTAGAGAGTACATTTGTTGAAGGTGCGCTGTGAAGGACGATAGACAACATTTGAAAAGCTTAACCCCGAAGACCATCTTTTCCCAGAATCTTATTGGCCTTATGGAAAACGGAGATTATTTCTTCTTTTTTTAAAGGCTCGGAATTGCAAGCGTATTGTCCGGCGAACGTATCAACTATATCAGGAGCAAAACAGTGGTCAAGTTTGGTTCCAAAGAATCTTTTTTCCCATCTTAGGAGGTGGTCTTTAGTACTCTTGATCGGTACGCTATTGCTATCCCCTCCCATTTCACTGGTCGTACCCCGAGTCATAATTGCTTTATGAAGAAGGCTGAACAGGATCCTATTATTGAGCTGCCGCCTCCATTCTTGAGGCCATGTTACTCCAATAGTGATCTCTATCTCGTCGTGCTGCTTTCGTTGCAAATCTTCGAAGCACCCGGTAGTCAGGATCACCTGAAATTCGTGCTTTAACAGTTTTTTCAGACAACTGAACAGTTGCTTCCAATATCCAACAAGCGCTCTTCCTACTAGTATGCCTTAGCGTGGAAGTGGCTGATTTTCGGAGTCATTCCTTTAGTTTGGGCCAGTATTCATCTGCCGTTCCAGAAAAGTTGTTGATATTTGTACGTTTCAATAATTTGGTTTGAAATACGCTCATTGTCCCTGAATTTTTTTTAGTTTGAGACAGTTGAAGGATCATGGCGAATGTTGCCATGAAGATTGCCCATTTCAGCGCGATAGGAACGATTATCGGGTACGGAACTCTTACAACGACGACTGACTAAGATGTTATCAGTCTGGTTGAAGTATTTGTTATCTGAGGAGTTCCACGTGACTAGATGTTTTCTGTGGATGCCGGAAGCAACTATTAGTAATAAAAAGTTCATGCTCTTCGGCATAATGAAGATGACGTTCCCCATTGGCACACCGGTCTCCGATACCACATTTGCTAATTGTTCATCGCAGCTGCATTATGATCTACACGCGCATTCCAGTCTCCCCGATTATAACCATGTCATATTTTGGTAGAAACTTTGTTAGCAGTTGAAGTTGCGCATAGAACTTATCTTTATCATGGTCATCTGCCGACAGAGTTGAAGCATAGGCACTGAGGTATTGCAAAACTTACCCTTATAATGGGCATAGGCTATACGATCGTTTACAGGTTTCCACTCAATCAAAGCGGAGTGAGTTTTTTCACACAACGCTATTCCATTTCGCCCCGAGTTATCTGAAGCACCACAGTGATACAGCCAGTACCTCTCCTCCGACTCAGAATTAATAATTATCCGAGACCTGAAATAAGGAAGACGGATCATTTCCGACAAGCAAGCGATATCCACATGATATTTAGAAAGGGTTTGGACATTGATCGCTTGACTTGCAACGTACAAATACTACAAGTACTACAAGTATTCTGACGTTCCACGCTCATACGACTAATACCTCGCTGCGAGTGCAGAGAGCTCTTCCTCCTGATAGGTTTCGAGGCTTACGAATTTCCGTGGCTTGCGAACATATTTTATTTACCAGCCTTGGGATCGCCTTAAGCCCGGATTGTATACTTATCGCGTGTACCACCGGGCTGGAAGTATCATGCGCATCAGGAGATGCGAGCGCCGTATCAAGAATATCTGACCTTTTCACCATAGTCACTTGGGGATAGAGTTACAGGTGGGTCCACAGCAATCACCCGGATTTTTGATACCACAGGTTTATTCCTGTCAAAGACAGACATAAAAATTTCATAGCATCATTATAAATTTTAAATATATATATATATATTTATTTATTTCTATTCTTTGTTTTTGAATTTATACTTATCTTGATAAATTGGTATATCGACTAAATGCTACAAAAATTTTTGTCATTGGCTGGTTGCCATTTTAAAAGTTACATACATTTGCAAGCAATTCGATGAAATGAAAAAAGGTGCAGCAACCACAATGAAAGATGTAAGAAAACTGGAAAAACTGTAACTACTAAGGAGAAATGGTACTTAAAAGAAATAGTTGATGAGTCGCTGTACGGAATCGTTCACAGCAAAATACCATGCATTTGGAGAAGTATTAACTGAACTCATAATTAACTGAACTCATTTATGATGTACAGAAGAATCACTTAGCAGTACGAATTTTTGTTGCGAGCACGGCGATTCCCACTTCTAACATCTACGTTTACAAAATTCCTTCGGGAATTCGGGAATTCGGGAATTGTGTTTTTCTGCATAGATTGAATAAGTTTACTGCCACCCAGGACTTTTATCTCTCATCAATTGTTAACTCTGCTGCCAGCATTCTCTTCTTAATTATCTCGTTGCGAACCCTCAAACTTGAGTAATAAAACCTTTATAAGTTACGATGCAAATATATACAAAGAAAGCAAAGCGAAACTATTGTTCTACTACAAAGAAAATAATGTACAGTGAAAACCAAACGTAAAAATATAAATGCCCAGTTCACCCTTCAATCCCCATTCCTATTCCCAACCTTAAAATGGCTAAAAATGATCTTTTGGGAGCTTATATTTGATTTGAAAGAAGGTTTATATTCTTAATTCTCTCAGAATAAATGATATATTGTACCTCTCACTTATGAGGTTTTCTACTATTATTCCACGATATTTTCCAATAGCTTCTCCAACCCTTTCTCTCTTATTTCATTAATTCTCTTGCTGGGCATAGCAGATGCAATGCGGATGACCTGTTCATATTTGCAGCATTTTTCGCTATTCGGCGACACATGATGAAATAAACCAGATGGGCAAAAGCCAATAAGAACAGGACATCAAATTTTTAAGAAGAGAACTGGATCAATAAAATATGTAGAAATTTGATTGAAAAATTTATACATTCAATTATTCAATTATTACAAAAGGGACTGCTTATACTGGATTTTTTTTTCGGAATTAAGCTAAAATGAAAAAGTAGCGAATGAAGCTTTATTATGGTGACTATGACGATGATATTCATTAATTATCTCTCAATGTTTTACAGTAAATTAGTGGATCGACATGATGCATTTTGACGATGGATTTCTGAGAGAAGTTCGCCGTTATGCAGAACAGTTTAATATATAACAGTTTGGCCATAAAACAATTAAATTTGCCGTTTATTGAACATTCTGATCACCTCAAAGTAATTCTTCATCTAACAGCTCTCTATTATTCGTTAGACTAGCTCCGTTGGCCACAGAGTAAAGTATTTCTGCTTTTCGGACTGACAGTAATAGAAGCCATTTCTTTTTCCATTGTCTAAGTCCATATATCGCTAGTGCATCTACACACACTCAAAATCTTTCCGGCCGTATCAGTTTAGATTTTCATTGGTTCACCTCATTTTTAACGCCAATCCACCACAGGGTTTAGCAAGAAACGGAATATGAGTCAAATCCTGTGGTAAGCGACGAAGAATGTGCCGTAATCAGCAAAGGTGACGCTCTCTGACGGTCCTGTTAATGCAGGTGATATTTGAACGAAAGTGGAGCCACGTAAGGTTTTATCCTGAGCTGCAAAATATACCTTGGATATGATAGTCGAATGCAGATAATTTCTTAATTCTTCAACGTTCACTAGCCATATCTCTCGGACATATAGTAATATCGAATGAATCGTGGCTATATAGATGCAGACGTTCGTTCTTGTGGTGATTTCGCAACGGTTCCATAAAAATTCCCTCAACCGGAAAAGCATATTTCCAGGTTACCAGGGCCATAATTTCATCCTTTGCCATTTAGGACTAGAGTGGATCGAAGATATATAATTTCAAGCACTTCCTCAACCGGTAATGAGTTGATAGGTAAAAATAGGTATTTTATCAGCTTTTTCTATATAAAACGACGAAAAGACTATCGTTTTATTTATTTGCAATGATCCTGAGTCCAATTTTCCCTATCAACACCTTATTCAGTATTTTATGCATTTCGTCATAACGGTCAGCAAAAAAGACTACGTCATAGTCAAGATCTACGACACTATGCACTGATTCGTACAAGTAATCAGTGCCGATAAGCGATTTATATTATCCAATTTATTGGATAATCGATACCGTTGCGTTCCATTATCCTCCAAAGTACCGTTCAATCAACTAAATCGAAGGCAGCTGCAGAATCGATGAAATACGTAAGGATGGGATTGGTTGAAGCGATATTCTAGCACCCTTCTTAACGTGAATAGATCAACATAATCATGGCCCAGCTTGAATTCAGCTTGATTATGGCGCATCCTACTGCGTCATACTGAAATAAGTCCATTTAGAAGGAATGAAGCGAGAATTTTCTCACAGATATCTATTAGGCTGATTACTTCATAATTTTCACAGTATGCCCTGTCACGTTCCCTAGGGATTGGGAGCAGAATTGTTTTAGTCCAGTCATCTGGTATTACTCCATTCTTCCATACTAAATGAAAGTGCAATTGTTGAAGGTGCGTTTTCCGAAAACCATCTTTTCCCGGTGTCCGTTGGCCTTAAGCTTAAGGATAACGGAGATTATTTGTTTTTCTGTCAGTGGCTCGCAATTGCAAACGCATGGTTCGACGAATGTATCAGCTATTTCCGACAACAGATGATTAAGTTTTGCCTCAAAGAATTCCTTCCATCTTATGAAGCGATACTTAATAGTCTTAAAGGAGCCTCATCGATATCGTTCCACTGACCCCTTCTCTAGTTATAGTTGATATGTGAGGAAGGCGAAACAGTTTCCTATTATCACCTAAAGCAGTCATCTCTAGGCCATATCGATCCAATAGCGATTTCTATCGCGCCGTGCTGCTTTCGATGTAATTCTTCGAACTACTCGATTTCCTGACATTTTAGGCTCTGGTAGCGTTTTCAGATAGTTGGACAGTTGCTTCCTATGCTCAATAAGCGCATTTTCTAATAGTATGCCCTAGTATGGAAGTGGCTGATTTTCGGAGACATTCATTTAGTTTGGACTAGTATTCGTTTACTGTTCTAAAAAAAGTCATCAATATTTTTACCATTGAGTTGCTTCAATAAATCAGTTTGAAATGCGTTTTTTTAGTTTGAAATAGATGGGAAGATCTTAGGGATTGCTTTTTGCGAGTTGCCAGTTTTATGCGGATCTTGGCTCGAAACATAACATTGTCAGATCTATGAAGATTGCTCATTTCAGTGCGATAGGAACGACTATCAAGTACAGAACTCTTCCAACGGCTACTGACTAAGATGTAATCAATCTGGTTGGAGTGTTGCTTGTCCGGGGAGTTCCACGTGACTAGATATGATACCAGAAGCATGTATTAGTAGCAAAAAGTTCATGCTGTTCGACAATTCGAAGAAGGCGTTTTCCCATTGGTGCATCAGTTTTCGATGTCATATTTGCCAATTGTCGAAGTCATCGCAGCGGCATTGTGACTTACGCGCGCATTTCAGTCTCCCCCGATTATGGCCATGTCATATTTCGATAGAGACTTTGTTAGCAGTTGAAGTTCCGCATAGAATTTATTTTTATCCTGGTCACCTGCCGACAAATTCGGAGCATAGACTGAGATATTGCAGAACTTACCTTTAAAGCAAGCATAGGCCATGCGGTTGCTTACCAATTTCCACTCAATCAAAGCGAAATGGGCCTTATCAGACATGACAATCGCTATGCCATTTCGCCCCGAGTTATTACCACAGTGATATAGTCAGTATCTCTGCTTCGAGCCAGGATTAGTAATTACTTGAGACCCGAAGTGAGGAATACGGACCTGCGACAAGCAAGCGATATCCACACGATATTTAGAAAGGGTGTAAACAGTGATCGCTTGCCTTGCAACGTCCATAAGCGTTCTGACGTTCCATGTTGATGAGGCTAATACCTCGCCGCACGTGCAGAGAGCTGTTTCCCTTGATAAATATCGGGCAATTAACTTGACTTACGAGCATATTTTATTTATCAGCCTTGGGATCGCTTTAAGCCCAAATTGTGTATATTTATCGCATGTACCACCAGGCTGGAAGTATCATGTCGGAAAACGTGGGCGTCGTATCAAGAATACCTGACCTTTTCACCATAGAGTCACTTGGTGATAGAGTTAGAGGTGGGTCTCAAGCAGCCACCCGGATTTTTGATATGACAGGTTTACTTCTGTCGAAGACAAGCATAATATTATTTATTATTTATGTATTATAGCATAAGATGGAAGAAAAATAAAAGATTAAAAAATTGAAAAAGAATCAATTTAAAAAAAACCTATATTGTTTGAAATGGCCAAACGAAGCAATAATCAATCAATAATATCTAATAATAATAATAATAATTTTCTATATCTTAGTAAAGCAGTTGGTCGAATCGACTCACTGATTACACACTTCTCCTATAGCCATTTCCTTTTCCATCGTCTAAGCTGTTCACCTATACATTCAAAATTTTTCCTAACTGTATCAGTTCGGGTCTTTGGCACATCTTGCTTTTGATCTCACAGAGTTTAATAACGAAATATGTGTCAACTCTTGCGGTGGGCGACAAAGAACGTGCCGTCAACCAGCGAATGCGATGTTCTGTGATGGTACTGTTAATATGAGCGATATGAGTGATGAGTGATTTGAGAAGTGGATCATGTGAGAATTTATTTGCTCGATGAACCCTTAAAAATATTTTAGACATGAGTGGTTAATGGTCTTTACTCTCATTATCCATATCTCGCAGCCATATTACGAGACCCACTGAAATGCAGTTACATAGAAGTGGACTTTTGCTTTTATATTGATTGCACGTAAAGGTTTCGTCAACCGGAAAAAAGCTACCATTTCTAACTACCATTACCAGGATCGTAATTTCGTTATTCACTTACCCATTTGAGATTACAGTGGATTCGAAACAGTTAAAATCTTGTACCCCCTCAACCGACAAGAGTTGATAAATAGATACTTTATTAACTTATAGTATATAATACTAAAAGATTTTTGTTTTATTTAAATTGACCCTGAGTTCGATTCTCGCTGTATTGGCACGTTGTTTAGCGCTATTTGCATTTCATCATAACTATCAGCAAAAAGGACTAAGTCATTAGCGTATTCAAGATCTGTGATAGAATGCTCTGGACTGATTTGGATTCCTCTTGAGTGTGGACAAGCAGTGTCCATTACCCAGTATCGCAGAGTTGAATATTGGAAAGGAAAAGAAGCAATGTTGACGAATCATATGCATAGTTGATTCGTAAGTTTCCTGTTGAATGATGCTGAAAGCATTATTATTTCACTTACCGTCAGCTCGGATTGCAATTTTGCATTCATCGTCGTCTGCGAATGTATGTAATTGAAATGTCTTCATTCTAGTGGAAGCAATTAAAGAACCACCGCAACGTAGGCTTATTGATAGCATGAAACCAATAACATGAACAGTTTCGTCATCACCAGATAAATAAGCACGTTCGTATGGTGCTCCTTGGAATAAAACGATCGCCTGTAAGTTTTAATTTTTAATTTCAGAAGTCAAAATTACATTAAAAGTGAAACAATTAGTTTGATAATTTAAAAATGTAAAACTGAACCTGGTTTGATGTAGTTGTGATTATCTGTGGTTCCGTTATGGTGTGGCACAATCGCTCAAGCAGTTCTGATGTTCTAAGCAAATCTATATGAATTTAATCAAGCCCAACTTGGTTAGCTTTCATTACCAGTAATTTTGATTTGAGTTAATTTTTTACTAATAATCGAATAACTTCACGCATTTCGGTTCAAAATTCATTTTTTCAAAAAATCGAAAATATGACATATTTCCACACATTTATTACACTTTTAGAACCACTGAATGAATTTTTATATAGAAATCGATAAATCTAGAGCACCATCACTGACACTATTTCACTTATTTTTATGTTATTTTTCATTTATTACTTTTTCCACATGAATTTTTTACTAAATGAGTTATAACACGCACAAGTATTTAATATATTGTACTTGGAAATCATAAGTTATAATTGCTTTGCTTTACATGGAAAGAACGGAACTCACGTGCTGTTTCCGTCATAGAATGATATTGACCCTTCAATAAAAGTAACGGGATTCTGACACCTAAAAAATTATCAAGTTAGTAATACTATCAATAGCCCTGCAATATTGCAAGCTCTCTCAATCAGATTCCTTAGAGGAAATATGGCCTTTAGTGAAATTGAAATTTTTGACTGATATGAAAATGATATTAGCCTGATTAATAAAACAAAGAACAAAAAAGATTTTGTATTTTTTAGAAAAGGATGAAACTATGATAATTTGATGATTAAAATAATTTGTTGAGATAATAATAATAATGATAAATGAAGGATTAAAAAAGGATTGTGGATTTTTTAAACAGCAAGAAATCACTTACGTGATATTATTTTGATAATTATAAGCGCTGTTTTTTGGTCGCCAAGTGTATTGTTGAAGTTTTCTCGGATGATGGCCAAGAGTTGTATAATGCGTCAAATTAAATTGCAGAATATGTGTAATTGCAGTGTTTATGTGCCATATACATGCTATCGATTTACTATATGGATTTGGGTAATTTGGTGAATGTATTGTTAAGGTTTGGCCAATTTGTACTGAAATTTAAGACTTGAATATTATGCCATTTGCATTCATTCATTTGTCGAAATCCGAACTTAAAAACGATATCAAATATACTTGCTATGAAATGTTCAACAATGTTGCAGGTTTCCTTCCTCAATGAATCAAATTTTTGCAGCATTTGGCCCTTATAATTTACTTGTGTAATTTATAGCCTTGCGTAAGGAAGGCACACTGCAAAAAGCACCGTCTCTTTAAAATTTTGCTATTTTCGTATGAAATATTGCATCGTGCGAAATCATTAACCGCAAGTGGCAATTCTGATAATTCTGTGGTTACGCTTGTGCAGTGATTGCGAATCGAACTTGATATCTGATGGTCTCAACAATTTAAATTTACTTAAACTACAACACATGGTATTGAATAAAAAATGGCGTATGGTCTTATAAAAATAATTTATTTGCAATACTTATTTATAAATTACCATTTATCATTGAACCGCATTCTTCCCCTGCTTTTCTTGTGATGAATCTAACTTTTGCTCTGAAGAATCGATTATTCGAATCATGTTTAATCAAGTATTGTTGAACTAATAACTTAACAAATAGTTCGTTCGAATTTGACATATAGCTCATTGTAGACGAAACACTGGTGCATATGATTTGTTGAGCAATTCCAGATTTGTTGCTAAGTCCCGAATAAAACTAGAAAAACAATAGTGGTTAAAAAAACTTAAGATGTAGAGAAGATAAGTAAAAAGTTTTTACGATTTGATTAATGCGAATATTTCAGATATCCGATATTCTGGTGTCCAGTAATAAGGTATGAAATAATTTCAACGAGTATGTAATGGAAGAGAAATAAAGAGAAGTAATTTCTAGAATCTTATGAGATCATTTCCTAGGGCTGAGTGGAATATATATCTCCCCACATAGTTCGCTAAAAGTTCCTATAAACTCAATATTGTGGATAAGGAGAATAATAAAGCTTATTTTGGTACTTTCATATATCTATGGAATTTTCGTATTTATATTTGAGATTAGTTAATAATTAAAATTTGCGCCAGCTTTAATTTAGCAGGAAACAACTTTGTTTAAGTTCGGCGCAATACAAGCATTTCAAACTGTCGAATAGATTATCATCTCAGACGTCAGAATTTTTGCATTGCCTTTGGCAAGAGTAAATTGGCCACTTAAAAAATCGAATAGCACTCGTATTTCCATTGCCAAGCACAGCCAATGGAAGGAATCTAACCAGAAAAGCTGAATTCTAACCATTTATACATATACTAAAATTGTATTTTGAAAAACCGTTCAGAATAAAAGAAGCCTTACCTTGTCATTAAATATCCAAAAAAACCTTTGCCTTACCTTGTCATTAAATATGCTAAATTAAGTGGATTTCGTCTGTTAACTTAATATGCAATAAAAGCAAACCGCGATTCCATTGAATTGTTCATCATGATCGCTAGGACAATCTGCGCTGCCATTAAAAATAGCAAATTCATCAATCGTAAATTGGACGCTTTTTTCTAGTGGTGATGTTATTGTCCATATGCACTCATATGCAGTAGAAGTGGCAATCAGATCAGCGATTCTAATTTCTATATCTGTTTCGGATAATAAAATTCCACCACAACCTGCCAAAGTAGCATTCCATTTAACTACTGAGAAATGCAAGAGTTGAAAATTTGAATTTGAACAAAACATTTTGTTTAGTAATTTTCTTCACATTCATTCGCTTGAAAGCCATTTCACTTTAATGGAAAAAAAGTAAATAGTTGCAATCGCACATAAAATTTGTTTACAAGAACAAAAACTAACCAACAATGGACCACGAGAGCCAAAAATGGTTTTCAGGATTATTAGAAGCGAAGGTAATTTGCAAAAGATTATTTTTTGACAGAACCGTCAATGGCACGCCAATTTCATCACAGAATTTTCTTTCTGTTGTATTACTGATGGGCTTGCCATCAATTACTGCAGTCACATTCTCTACACTGTTCATTTCTAACTAGAATTTTTGCAACAATCATCAATTGTTTACGAGCGACAATTGTTTACTAGCCAAAAATATGGCTAAAAAACAATTTTTTCTAATTTTCCAAAAAGAATAACACTTGCTGCGCAAAATTTCTTGTGCACTTTTTCCAGTGTCAGGGACTTTATCAATAAGTAAGGTTGATGCATGCTGCTAGTTTATAATCCCTCATACTCGAAATGAAACTGAAGAAAATAGAAACAGTAAATTGAAAGGAAATATTATTCCCTAAATTACCTCAAGATAATTACTCAAACAGAGTGGTGTGAATGGGCTTTTTTTCTCGGAAATTCGAAATAAATGAAAAGTCAGTCGAATTCGATTTCCTTGCGTGGCATGAATAGTCCACTTACAGAAGCGGTTTTCATATACTCGTTGCAGATATCCAGGACTTTGAATCATCCCATGATATCCAGATAAATGTATGTTATAGCAAACTGTAATTACTATCAGGTATTTCTTCAAGCTGAATAGAACAAATAAATGAATTTGATAAAACTATTTGATAATGCCATGATGCAATATGAAAAATGTCGCTTAAAACTAGCAAGTAATTCATTAGAGTGGTCAAGGAGTTCGAATTTGATTAAATAGTTCAACCTTACGACTAACCAGTCTTATAATGAGCAATAAACCCAAAAAGTGATCCGAAATGTGATCCACCATGTTGCCGATAACGGATTGTCATTTCATTTGTTTCTGAATTAACTGATGGTGGCGAAACTTCTTTTTTACAATATCGCCGTAAAATTAGAGATTTTGCAATTGGTCCATCGGCAATCTAAAAGATCTTTGCACAATTTATTCAAAATTTTAAATTTATCCAAAAATTTAAAAAATTGGTCTTAGAATTTGATTTCCTTTTTCACAAAAAACCCTGCAAACACCAACTGATTAATATTATTTTACTTAGCATTACACTTTTTCTGCTAGTTCATTTCCGCTAGTCTTAAGAATTCTGTCGTAGTTTGAAAAATAACAAACATCAATATAATTTGGGGCAAACGATGAACAAAATCCGTCATGGTCTGCAGAATTTAAATCGTCGATTGATGTTATCGTAAATACAATACGATTACCTGAATGCAATCTAGATTTTCAAAGCTTCATGTTACTTTTAAATGATAATTAATAAGATAATCGATTTTAGGCTAACATATTGTCATTCGTACCATAAGCAACAGCAATATGCCAATCGCAGTTCAATGTTCGCGAGTCTTTTAATGGATATTGTGGTGCCGATAACGCTCCACTGATGCCATTAAGAAGCCCACCACAATCTAATGAATTCAATGAATTTACAGAATTTGTTAAAAAGAGGTCGATTTTTTAAAAAAAGAACTATTGGAGAAATGTTAAAATCTACAGATGCTTTAGATGCCTTAAATTATTTTTCCTTTAAGCAAGTTAGGGCCCTTTTTTGACTCGCATTCGTTCTGTTAGTATGAAAAATTTTATTAGTGAAAAGAATTGTCATTTGGGAATTGTAATATAGATCGCCTCTTAGAATTACCCAGTTTTTCAATGGCATATTTTCTCCTATTCCATGCATGGTCCTCGTTGCTCGACCCATAATCTGAGAAAAAACCACACGCTTTCCCTTTTTCTCTCCCTTTTTCTTTTCGTGATTGAATCGTGTTAAGGTAAAAGAATCGATAACAAACTTGAATCAACTTGCTCATAGATAATATTGAAATAGTAATTATTTGTATTCAAAGTTTTCAGGCGAAGAAACAATCGATTTCCTTGAGAGCGAAGTTCTTCGACTGGGTGCTCATCGCATATTTCTGAGTCTCGAAAAAGGCCACTAAATGCAGGTGATTGTTCATTTACTCCATTCCTGCAATTTTACATTATATCGAAAATGGTTTTATATTTCCAACATTTTTCATTTTATGGGATATGATAAAGAAACTTAACAATGCTGAATCAAATGAAGTTGGATTTAGTTATATGCTATTAGTCTATTTGTACGCTAGAAAATACATCAATTACGTAGAAAATAAACAGTAAAGAAGGTGAATTTGGCATAAATAGTAAATATCTTTCTCTGCACATTCATAATTTCTTGTTTAGCTGGCTTCACAGACTACTGGGGCCTCTTCGTTAGATATTTAGAATAGAAGAGAATCTTTCGCATCAGCTTCCGGACTTTCACTTCTAAAGATTCATTTCGGTAAAGGAATCACAGCCTTAGTCAAAGCGAAATACTACTTGGTCCTTCTTCCAAATAGATACAGTTTCCTTAGAAAAATTGCTGTATGATAAATCTGTCACCTGATCATTAATGTACCTTCCTCACATGGTAAAGAAAAGTTTTCAATTTTTAACAAAATTCTTTTCATCGTCGGCAACTAAAAATAATTCTATATGAAGTTTACCACAATTAAACCTTATGAATTTTTGGCAATTTTGAATTTTCATTTTTTGACTTCTGTAAAAGCAAAGAAATTCTAAAAAGTTGTTTTGAAATCCACTTATATAACAGGAAAATCATTCATTATTTAGGATACTATGATTATATATTTTCAGTATTTCAATATTATATTTCCAATTGTTTAATCATCGACTTACAGCTATATGATAGTTGCAATCGGTCGATTTATGCTCCTTATCTACTTTTATTTGTATTTTACCGCTGACTGCCGTATAGGAACGATCGCATTCATTCTGAAAAAATTATTTTCAAACAACATTAAAGCATTTTTTAATATTTTCAAATCGTTTGGATGAAGTAAAAAGGAACATTTTTTTTTACAACTTTCTATTTATTTAAATCACACCTTAATATTTACAGCCTTCCAATTGGCTGAAAAACCTTGACCACTGACTGAGCGATCACTTTTGAAAACTAAAGTTAACTGATTGCCATTAGAAAGAACTGAAGGAGGCTGTAATGCACCACAAAACCTAAAAAAATCTAAGATTATTCGTTGCAATTACTATGGTTAAAAAACAAAAAATTGATTGGTAGCTTATATGATAAATTTGAGTTGATATATATTTTATAGGTCAAGCCTTCCTGAATAAATTTGATGACAAATCCTTAGTAAAAAAATTTGCAAATAAGTTTTGAAATTCTGATCATTTTTTGAAATTCTGATCAATCAGAATTGAGAAAATTTCAGTTATTCAGATAAAACGGCTTATAAGCGAATATAATTTTCAGTACATTAGAAACAATTTATTTAATCCTTCAAGCATCACCTTCCATAAAAATGTCCAAATTCGTGGTCGTTCTTATATGAATCATAGATTTCTATTCCATCATATGCACAATCTTCACGATTCGGTACCACTTCTAATTCAAACACATCAAAATTAAGGAGTATTCGTTTGAGCTGAAACGAAACTTCAGTGACTGTAAGCTTCATCATATATTCAATATATTCTGAATAATGAATAATTTTTTAAATGAGCTGATGAAGCTAAGATTTTTAATCTGAGGTACAAAACACGGGGGAAGCGAGGCATTGTTCTAAGTCGGTTATTTAGCCCATGAACCAAATCTGTAGTATTTCCAGAAAGAGCTGCATCACCTTCACCTGTTCCATAACAACATGTATACAACTTGTGGAAATCTTGAAGTTTGCATTAGAAAATTAGAGAATTGAAATAACATGATGATAATAATAATGTGCATTTTTCAATGAAGTCTTTGTTGAAAGTTTAGATAAGCTTTAATCAATCCATTTTGAGATGTACCTGTGAAGCGACTTCTCATACTTAAGATGGATATAATGCTTTATGATATCAATGATATGTAATGATATGTAAGGAGGTAAGAGAAATAATGAACCAAATTAATGTGCAATCGTGCTATAACCGAAGTAATTAGGCTTTTGTGAAAAATTCTTTTCCACAAAAAACAAATGCACATTCATCATCTTATTTTTAAGATTATTTGAGAAAAGCATAAATTTACACAGTCTAATTGGAGCTCATTTACTTAATGGACAACTGGAAATTAATTTGATCAAAAATTTAATTTCCTTGATCAAAAAAAGATGAACATATTCAAAAAAAATAGTGGGCTGAGGGAAAGACTAGGAAATACTGCCTTAAATGAATGAAATTTTTGCATTGCCAACCAAAATAAATATTAATGATCCATAACCACCATTGATCTCAAAAATTCTATTTAATAAATCTGTGTTTAAAGTTCTATCAAAGTTATGGATAAGGCATGAATTCTCATAAGCTTCGCTTATTCAGACATAATTATTCAGCAAATTTAAGTGAAAGTGAATATTCAAATTTTCTACAACTGTCAGCTTACCGAGTCGACTTTTATTATATATATACAGTACATATGCGACAAATAATTGTCAGGAAAATTCGGACTTGTTATTTTGCCGCTTTCACCTTCGAATACTCCACCACATCCTGTAAACAAAAATCAAAAAAAAAATCTATGAATGCATAATTAGAAGCAAGGAAATAAGAATAAAAGAAGTTTCTTGAAAAGAACGAAAATGGAGAAATGAAAGGGCCAAGAAATTCAAACCTGTATTTGTAATACAAGAGGAAATCCTATTTTATTAGATATTAATGATATATAATAAATTAAAAAATTTGGTATAGTTAGTAAAACTAAAAAATTTCTGAGTGAAAAGCGTTCGCATTCTTAGAAACAAAAGAAGGATTCTTACTAACCGACATCCATTTGTTCATAATAGAATAAAATGCCTTTGTTCTCGATACTGGATGAACTATAGATAATTCTTAACGGTCTATAAGCACTTGTGACCTGCATAGTATAAATATAAAAAAGTCTTCAAGCAATTCGTAACGAATAGTAAATGCTATTTCAAATATTAATGATAATTAGTGAATGCAGGCTGCGAGAGTTTCACTTTGCTCACGAGCGTTTTATCAAGAAAATTTTAAAATAATGAAACAAGCATACAATTTCTCCTTCTGGGGCGACAAACGGATATCGCTGACATCGATACCTTTTATTGACATGACTGTGAGAATCATGGCCACCAACGAACTGAATATATATTTCTTTGAATACTAAATCTTGGCTCATAGGTAATCAAAAAAATTTAAAGATACGAAAAAGGCAGAAATTTCACTTCTTTGCATAGAAGCGGTAGATAATTTTATGAAGGAAATTTAGTTTCTGTTTGAAAAAAATACCTCAACATAGTCCTGCGACTTGTCTTGGTTGCCGATTTCATAAAAACATGATCGAATGGTGAAATTCAATCCTATATAGTTGAATTTGACTCGAATTGCTTTAGTTCTTTCGGCAATAATCACGTATGTACATTTCAAAGGTATAGAAGTTCCACTAGGGTAGTTTGGACTTTGTATGGTCCCATTACGTGAGGTAAAATGTTTTTCACATGCTAAAATATTCAGTAATATTTTTGTATAAAAAGGGCAAATTGTAAATTGTTTTGTAACTTTTCGTCACAATAGAGGTGAAAAAAAACTCGAAAAGTAAATGAAATCGATTGTGAGTGAAAAACCTTAAAATGCTCATCAATCATACTTAAAAAAATAAATATAAAGCGAGATTAGAAAAGTTTTACTTTAGTAGTTAATGGAAGCAGCCAAACAATTTAAGAAATGATGAAAATATTCCAACAATACTATTCTAGAATGAATAGATAAAGCAGTATAGCCTCTTCTTCTTATATTTATTTTATGCGCAATTTTTTAAAGATTTTGCGTTAAAATTCGAACTTGATTCATATCGCAGCTTAAAACCTTTGCCGCTAACCGAATCATCAGAATGAAACTGTATAACCATTTTTGGTCCTGTGGAAACAATCGCAGCTGCAGGCCGTCGATCATTGCAATATTTACCCAATATTGGTTTAGATGCATCACCGCCATCCTTGAACTTAAAATGGAATTTTTTAAGATAATAGTGCTAATGTAACATTTCTGTTGCTAACCACTGGGAAAAAATGCCGTACATTAGCCTTTCATTTTCATGTTTAAAGATAAGGACAAATTTTTGTTATCGAATATATTCAATGTAATTCAATATAATAAATTGTGTGCCAACATTTTTCCTCAACTATTATAAAAAGCTATTCGAAAGCTCCACCAGATAGGTCTAAGTAAATCGCTTATCACTTCTACACTTTCTTTTTCTAATAGTTTCTGACTAGATATCTCTACCTCGAGTTAAGTCTTTTGTCAGGTAGAGACAAAACTATAGGTGGGTCCCCAGCATCACTTGTAATTTCCTCATTCTTTGGCATTTAGCCGAGAAATAACATTTACATCAATAAAAACTAAAAAAACATAAAGCACTTACAAATATTATCTCTTCAATAATTTTGAAAGACTAAATTGTTGATAAATGCGAAAAAAACTTACGATTAAAAAATCATGTTGACAATTTTTGGAAATTTTTAAGAGGTGAGGTTTGAGTTTTGCACTACCAAATTTATTAACTGAAATTTTGCTCTTGTAATGATTATTAAGGTTTATAATTTATTTCGCTGGCTCGAAAAAAATGCAATTCGAACTGAAGATAAATGCGCTGCAAAAAAGTATCCAATATATCCCCTTGAGTCAAGGATATGAATCATAATCATATGAAAACTTATCCAAGCCCTTAAAAAAATTCTTTTTTGAACCATTGTCGAGGCAATCGTCTTTTATACGGCTTATTCATCGTTTCATTTTGTATTTGACTAAGAAAATTGTGCTAATATCAGCCTAATGCAGTAGAAATGTTGTATTAGCTCATCTTTTTCGAATAGGAGAGCTCATTTTAACACAAACAAAGAAAAAGAAATTGAAAAAGAATAATTGGCACAAATTGCACTTTAATACTTACATTTTGCTGGTGATGGTGTTGAAGGAATATCTAAGTCCAGAATCTCGATTTTTATGATATTTGCATTCTGGTTTTTCTAAAACCTAATTTTGATTCTTTAAACAGAAATTTTATTGATGGCGATAATAAAAGATAATCTTATTGCAAATAGTTTCTCACAAAAAAGTCGTGTACAGAACAAAATATATATACATTATGAGAGAATGAAGCATCGAGTAGCCATAAACAATCCAGGCTAGGGAAGTAATTGAACCCATAATTAGGCGATTGAATTATTCCAGAGAAAATTCCATTGGCATCAGTCGAAATCATTCCACCACAGTCTTTATCCACTGAAAAGTATGAATTACCGTATGAAATCATAATTCGAGAGATGGCCAGTGAAATGCTTCAAGGCAAAGGTGAAGGTTTTAGGCTTCAAAAATCGCCTCTCGTAATGGAGGAGATTCTTTGATACTAAACCTATTAAGTCTTCTCAGTCTGTCACTCTTGGCATAACTGAAACATTTTTCAAGGCATATGAATGCAACTGTCAGCAGAACTAAGTTATTCAGAAGCATGACAAAGAAGGGCAAAAATGCTTCTCTAGAAGATGGTCTGCTGCCTGAAATCTTCATGTTCAACAGCTTCTCACTTTCTAGAGATCTGTTCATTGGCATACCAGATGACCGGAGTAAACCACTTGTGATCTCACTTCCTAAGAGTGATAGAACTTACAATCTCAAGTGGAGGAAATTGGCCTACATCTCCCTTCTAGACATAGACATATAGACTTGGATAGCTGAATAGACTTATGGCAGGATAATGGACTTGAAACAAGGTATATAGGCCGTAAATGTATAACATAACATAATTATAATATAATATAATTATAATATAATATAATATAATATAATATAATATAATATAATATAATTATAATATATGAATTATAATATAATATAATATAATATAATATAATATAATATAATATAATATAATATAATATAATATATTATACAGTATAAATATATATACTGACTAAATAATTCCGATGAAAAGAATGGTGGAACAGAATATAATATAATATAATATAATTACTTGCTTCAAATATCAGAAACTTTTTTCAATTGTTCCATTGATCTTATTGCCTTCAATTGAATATGCTACTTTAGAGGCTGTAGAGAAAATTACCGCCTTTTAGACACGTGTCGACAGTCAAATTCGAACTTCAGATTCTATATAATCAAGGAGGGGCTCTTGCCTTCTCTTGCCTTCTTTATACCAGAAGTTGGCAAAAGATTTATTTGTACAAATGAATCCTTAATTGATGTAGTGGTAAATATCTTGGATCTACTCACACATCAAATGACTAATGACTAGATGAAATTCCAATCCATATAACTGCAGCTAAAAGTTTTTTGTTACATCCAGCTTTTTAAATCTTTGTGGATTCTTTTTAAAATCAGTATTGAAGCGGTAGTTCGAATCTATTTCTCGGTAATATGCTTAGTCCCCCTCCTAAGCAAATACAATGATAGAATGGAAAATATCTATTATTGCACATTCTTGCATAGTTTATGCTCTACAGAACACCTTCGCTCGAATACCATCTGCATATCATCATAAGAGGACATGTTCTTTGCCACCTATGAATCTATGAATATCTCGCTATATGCCAGACTATATAATGTGCCAAAAAAGGCCGATGATTTTTAGGCTTAGATAATGGAAGAAAATTATCAAAATACTCGTAGGTAATGGAAACCACCCAAACAATGATGATATATGCTATTAGAAAATAGGAGAAAAATCGAGATAGGGGGGATGTGGATGGAAAGCTAATATATAAACAGTTACATTCAATCGTCCTGTAATTTATTGTGAATCCTTTCTTGCATTTGTTACCGTCACTACCTGAAGCACAAACAATTAATTTTTTTTCATTAAAGAACTGGTTTATTTCAATTTACAGAAGAAGCACCGTGGGGATTTCCTAGTTTATCAATGAAGTATGATTATTTGACAAAATTTTTAACGAACATTGATTATGATCATCGAATGAAGTGTGGAAAGCACTCGTGAAATACACACTAAAATTTGGCAAAGTAGTTCGAGCCAATATTGGATAGGTTTCACTGCTACATAAGTGCATAATGCGAATATCCTGATCGATTTGCAACCCATCAAAAATCTAAAAGTTACTTATTTATACCATATTTCAAATTCAATTAGGAGATATGATTTATGCCAAAATCGCAATGAGAATGCGCCTAAATTTTTCATTATCAGTTAATTTACGATGAAAGTATTAATATTAAAAAAGTAATAAAAGTAATAAAGTAATTAATAAAAGTAATAAAGTAAATAATAAAGTAATTTACAGTGAAAGTAATAAGTAAAATAACTAATAAAAGCGTAACAATAAAAGCGATATTCGAATTTAATGGCAAATAACTTATGTCATCAGTCGAAAAAATAATAATTAATGCCAACTTATAATATAAATATTAATAATAGTGTACCTCTAGAGAATTTAAAGAACAATTTCTATTTACTCCCGAACCAAGTTGAATTGGATCAACAGTGATTTCAATATGCATTTGTGGATCAGCATTAACATGCCATTGACATTTTATATTAGGTTCATATTCATACAGCGATATTGACCCTTCATTTCCGTACAATCGACCACCGCACACTTGAAAAAATGCCAAATTTTATTTAATGTAACCTATATTACAATATAATATTTTAAAACATAAGTTTTAATAGAAAATTTTACAAGTTACAAATTTTACAAATTAACAAATAATTCGAAAATAAAAAATCTGTGAATGAACCATAAATTATGAAGAATTACAAGAAAAAAGGAAAAGTTAAAGGATTTCTCCGACACTAATTTTAATTTTAAAAAATGACAAACTTTTTTCGACCATTGACCATTGAATGGTAAACCCACTGTTAATGAGAATGTCATTGCTTGATTGAAATAAAATATATGCATTACCAGATGAAAAATGAATGGGAGAGGTCGGAACAGCCTAAACCTTTCAAAAATTTGTATTACATTATAATGCAATATGTATATATGTAATACCTGATAACGACACATTTTTTTTTATAAAATAGTGCGCATATTAAGTTGAATAGCATTAAGAGTTCCATACCTTATTTGATCCATCCTGACCACAGTAAATCCCAATCAATGGACTATTCGATGAAGCGCCATCGCGTAATGTTAATTTGGAATCTGCTGATAAACATGAAAGTGATCCCGTTTCTGATGACGATTCTGACGACAGATTAAATCTTGTGAAGTTCATCTCAATAAACTGGAATGTTAATGCATGGAGAATATTACTAAAGCAATAAAATACAAAAAAGATAATTCGTAGAATTTTAACACTTAATGAATCGAACCTTATTATTGTTATCATCAACTGATATTACCCATTCACATGATTTGTTTCGACCATAATAAAACCACATCCAATCAGGATATTTGATCACTCCTGTTGCATTATTAATATGACCACCACATCCTAAAGGTTATTTTTTACATTTACTTTTATTTAAACTAGCAACATAAGCCTATTGAGTGAACGGCAAGTACTCGCGCTTCTGGCTAAGCTCGTTGCATTAAATGTAACTAGATTAGAATGGTATCCAAAGAATTAATTTGGAATGGAGTTGCCGTTAAAACTAAGTATCACTCGGATTTCTTAAAGGCAGGTATCTTGTCGAAAATGAAACAGTCGAAAAAGGATGTTCGATGGTAATCTAAGTAATAATCATTTTGTATTGCCAAAATTTCTTAACCGTTTTGTGATTCTATCCCCAAACGACTCTATAAAAGTGATTTTCAAAGTGCTTTCGCTGGCAAAAGAAAAAATAATCGGAATGGTGTGAACCTTCGAATTACGGTAAGTACTTCTTATCTGTTGAGGGTAGCTATTAATTGTTTCTGTGTGCGGTGAAACCATAGCTGCGAGGAACTCCGAAACCATTATACTTGGTAAATTCGTATTCGTACGGAAATAGCGCAAAATTTCTCAAATTTCTCAAATCTGAACCAAGTCGGCTCTTATTGCTAAAGGCTGTAAGCAATCGAGTGGCTCGCTTGTTGTGCCCGCTTTAAAAGGATGTGCAATGCCTCGGTCATCAGTGCTTATAATCTATATGCGGTTGACTTTTCACAAGGAATAAATGAAAGGATAAGACAGAGACAGCAGAGATTACGCAGGAATAATTAATTACTACAAAACTAATAATGCGACAGAATTAGATAAAATTTTCTCAAAATACGATATGACCATACTAAGACTGAAAACTGAATATACTCGATGTAAATATGATGGATTCTTTGACCAGCAATTCCGGTATGCCAGTGAATAGAGGAAGCGCTCTGCTCAAGATTATGGGGCTTTTGTCATGCTTTCGGTACCAGCGAAAGCATCTAATTAAAAATGAAAATAACACACACCCACACTCAGAATTCACAAAATCAGATTTATATTTTCGTCACAGTTATGAGAGTTCAGCATTCAGATCGCAGTTTCTGTCGCTGAGCTGAAAGTTGACAAGTTTTGCGAATTAGACTATACGAATCAAGTCGAGATCCACATGAAAGTGATCAGACCAAAATCGGCTACCACAGGTTAAGAGATTAGGGAATAGTATTATCAGCACATTTCAGTGATGCAAATAACGACGATATATTTGGAATGGCTTATAAGTGTTGGCCACAACTAAAAAGCAATACCTCAAGCAATCTGCCGAAGCCACGCCAGGACAGCTGCTAGTTCATTGAGCATTTGAAGAAACTGCTCAACTTTCAAAAAGACAATAGCCCTCATGTTAGAAGATTTGGATGCCTCGAAAACTCCGGTTAGTGAAATGATCAAGATAATTGAGATAATTGATAATTGATCATGTTTTACAGCTTATCTGTGACCAGACTTAACGACGATGCACCATCTAACATCCCCTACTTAACTAAAATGCTGTTGGAGTCAGAATTGCAACTAAGAGCCGTGAATATACCGAGAAAAATTTTTTTCTAAACCTTGAGCGAAATAAAACTCCCGTAGAAGACGATCCTAACTGAAAAATTCTATCAAGCTTCCCTCGCAACTTATCTTCAGGGCATATATTAACTGGTATGGAAACGACTGGTGAATGAGAAAAGTAATCTCCCACCTTATTTTGAAAAAAAGTATTATAACTTGTGGAAGTGAAGGATTACCTTGCTACAATCTCGCAAAAATTTTCGCCACCATTCTGATGAAAAACTCATGTCAGAAAGAGGAGAGATAAGATATTTAAGCTGGATTTAAAACAGGTCGCGCTGACCAAAGCATCTCAGATATTTATTAATAATATTAATCAAACTTGTCTCTTATATTTTCAGATATCGGTTTAATGAGTGAAAAAATTTTTGATCTTCAATTTCAACTTGCTTAATAGAATTATAATCAAAAAAATCTTAAAAAATTGAAAATTTTGTATTTTGTACATATTTTGTACATATTTTGAAGCTTCACTTTCAGATTTGAAATCTTCCTTATAGATATGTATATGAACAAGCCTGGGGTACGCTATATGTTTCTCTATTAGATTTAGTCTATGAAATTAATCGAAAATCTGCGAAAACTTTTTTTCATTCGTAGTATTAATTGTTGCTACCATCTGAAACAATTTGCACCCCCTAATTTCTAGCATTGAGTCAAACTCAACGACTGTACGCCATAAAAAATAAAGAAACTTAAAAAATGAATTAAATATTCTTTGTGAAATCTTCTCCTCAGCGTCTTGACATTAATTTTCATCGTTTATCGTATTTTTTATCGTATATTTTTTTTTGTTACTTTCTGTATGGTTTTATGGTTTTTTTATACGTTAAGCTAAATTGTTCTTAATCTTAACCTTTAAACTTTTTTCTAAATAAAGTGAATTTAATACAACATACAGCATTCTCCTCGAACAAAAATTTTGCTAAATTTAACAAAAAAAATATTCATGCTGAGGACAAGTGGTAAGTGAATATCGCTTCAAAACGCCTTACCGTGGCACGTTCTGTTAATTTTACTGCTATTATCAGTTGAATAGATGGAGTGAAAATCTGAGTAATGCAATGTTTCATAAAATGTTCTCGGACTTTTTAGCACATTTCATCAGCGTAAGTCAAGTCTGTATTTATGGGAAAGTGATATATTCTTTCGAAATAAGGATTGATACATATCAGGATTACGTCCTTTTTCATGCAATATTCAACTAAGATATAATATGAACAGACACGAAATGTGCGAATCAGTCAATAGCATACCCCGGATCTGATGTATGCGGATGCTTTAGTTCTTTTTACCGTCATGAAAAATTGCACAATCTTGCTATAAGGTTGCGAAGTATGGCCAGTGAGGATTGTAAATTTAAAAATTATTATCTTTCACCACACTTGCCTTGTCTGAGATACACTCTTATTGGCCCGACAAGGAGAGAAAGTCTTATACGATTATATTCATCTTCGCTTGAATTATAAGATAATAATTTCACTCATATTAAGCCATATTCTATGCCGTCTAATGGAGAAATTTACGCATATTTCTTTAATTTTAAGACCTGGATGATATCGAAAATGGTGAGCATAAGCTAGAGCTGAAATGATTAGGAGAATTATCGAACGTTTAGGCAGTTCGCCAATATATGTAGGCTTAGCCGGTGGAAAAGTCTTTTATTATTTTCGAGTGTTAGATTGGAAAAGCCTCATCCTTCTAGTCACTCAGGCTAGTCTAAGAAGAAAAGTATTTTGCCCTTATATCTATTGACGATTGATGTATTTCCATACATTAGGTTGTTAGAGAAAAAATCCTCATTGATAAACTTTTCAAAAATTATAGATGGTAGGAACAGTTCAGATGCCTATTAAAGCAATGCTGAGCTCACTAAAATAAAAATAAAATACTATATTTCAAAAAAAAACCAAATTATTAGCTATTTGCAGCAAAAAGAGAATACGAAGTATCATGTATACGTATATGTTATATGTTTTCCACCAAGTTTTCACATGGAATTTAGTTAATAATCGAGTCATATTTCTTAAAAAAATAATTTTGAAAAAGAAAAAATATATGTTATTTTCTTATATTTTCTTATTTTCTTATGATATTTCATATAGATATCTTTTTGGGGAAAATTGGTCGAATGCACATTGCTTTGACTATGCTCGAGTCAACGATTTCTGCGCCTTCACAAGATTTTACTTTATCAATTAATAACGCAACCTCAATATCTCTCTCTATCCCCAGCTCCTTCAAGTAAACGGATGCAATTATCGGGAATAAGACAAAAGGGTAAAAATAATGCCAGCAAATGGGGAAATGAAGAATATTGTTAGAAAAAGAATTTAGAAAAGATAAGAAATTCGTAATTGCTACACAATTTCAAATGAAACACTACCATCTTCTTCGAATTCACATTTCTCACCAAAGTAGCCAATTGAACAATGACATTTAAATCCACCAGCATCCAGTGGAATACATTTGCCTCTTCCATTGCATGCATCATTAAGGCATTCGGTAGCAGTTTCACAACGTTTGCCAACATATCCCCACATACAGTGACATTTAAACTCTGTATCTGCTATTATCTAAAACTGAGTAATTAAATTTTCGCTATATGTGCCGAAATTTCTGATCTGTTCAATGAGAAAAAAAGAATATGCACTATATCTTTATAGACGGATTTTTGGCTGTTGGTTTGCTTTAGTATCACAATGACTTTATACGTCATATATGTTATGATATACATCATATATTGATATTTGATACCATTTTAGAACTTTAGAAATAATGATTAAAGGTGGCAAACAAACATAAAAAGAAAAATAAAAAAGTAGCAGAGCACTATTGGTTAGACTCGTTCCCCTCTGACTTCTTACACTATATATAAGTATGTCAACGTCAGCATAACCCGGATTTTTGGGCAGGTCTACTTCTACTGGATAATGAACTTCGGCATCGGCACTGCGAATTGAGCAACAAGTCATTGAGCCATTCTGCTACCCTTTATTTTTCTTCATTATGGGGCAATACCGCCCCACGAAGCGTGGTGAGTCGGCCAGACCCAAACGTGAGCCAGTGACGGTGCTACTAAATGCAAAGAAATATTTGTGAGCTAAATTATAAATGAATTAAAGTTGAACTAAAGATTGAAAAAAATGGAATAAAAAATTATTTTCTATGAAATTGTAGCATTTACTTTAAGAGCGGTTTTAAAAATGGCTTATATTTATGTCATTTAATTTTAATTAAAGAGAATAAAAATGTTGGTTATTAAATCATTCATTCAAAGATATAAAGAAGTTTCAAAATTTTTCATTTTTGCTCATCGTTAAAATCAATTAAAATGAAATATAATTTACATAATGAAATATAATATAATGTAAAAATGAAATAAATAATTATTCATTATGCAATAAAATGTGAAAATAAAAAATACTACCTGACAAGTTCCTTCATTATAGCACGTATCACTAACACATAATGTGGTATTTGATCGAAAGCATCCTTCAGCACCGATTCCATCGCCAATCATTCCTTTAGGGCATTCACAACGATAACCACCATCTCGAGCTCCATCGTCCTTCATATTGTAACAAATTGCGTCGGGATAACATGGTTGGAGATTACATGGATTTATTAATTCACAGATGTGCCCATCGCCAATGTATCCTTTAATAATGCATCTATTGCCAGGAAAATAGCCCTGGATAGTAGCGAAGTGGTTGAAAAAAAGTAAAAGAAAAGAAAAATTTTAAAAAAAGTATGAAAAATATGTATCTCGAGAAAATAATAATTGTTTACATTATTTATATATATTATTTATATTATTTATATACAAAAATATAAAGCGCTTGAAGCCTTCAAGTAATATATTTTTACTTGCTTTGGCGTTTAATGTTGTTACCATGTTTTGCCTAGGTAGCATGCACAGACACCACCAATTACTCATATGCAAATTACTCATACATTCTTTATTTTTGATTTAAGTTCATTTATGAGGTTTCGATGTTGCTTGTACAGAAATATATAGATTACCTGGTGGACATGTTCCACATCTATAAGAACCGATTGTGTTAATGCAATCTACAGGTGGATTTTTTGAACAAGTTGTAAGGTCAGGATTTTCACACTCATTTTTATCGACGCATTGAAAACCATTGCCTTTAATATTAATGTACTTTTAAACTTAAATTTATCATAGGCAAAAAGTTTGGTAAATCTCTAATATAAATACCGATTCAGTTATTTCATATAGAGAAAGACTAGCCAATCATTCCTGTTGGGCAATTGGAGCACTTAAATGATCCAGGAACATTAATACATGCTGAGCCAGGAAAGCATGGGTTTGCTGAACATTCATCGACATCTTCACAATAAGGATTGGATGTATTAGTTGTTGATCTATAGCCCCATTCACAAATGCATCGATATCCTTCCTAGAAAATAATTTT